GGTTCAACAGTCTATCCCAATCTGGAGGCATTAATACTAACTTACTAGCAAATCACTCATGATTGTAAGCTGCACGGCTGCTACTAGCGCCTAAATGCGCAGCCCGTAAAGTCCTCCAATGGTAATGATTGTGAAGCTCATTGAGACCATGTAAAATGCGCTATATAAGAACCCCGTTATATATATATATATTATATATACATACAAATCTACCAACCCGCACTTGCAGCAACATGTAGCGGTGTTCTTCTTCCATAATCCCAGTCTTCACTGTCAACATCAACATCCCCCGTCGAGAGAAGACTCTGCATCTTGTCAACATCTCCCTTCGACGCTGCTTCGTGTAGCTCTGTCATTCGATCGTCAACCAGTCTTTATAAACACTGCTAACTCACCAGCTACTGACAACAACTACATGGTTTTCTCCCAACACTCTATCTAGCTGAAACGAGTTGAATAACATGCATGAATTAAGTAATAAATAAACGTAACTTTTTGCTAAAAAAAAATTTGAAGAGGATTTGCGTCATTCGCGCAATGAGCCAATCATCGCTTGGGTGTTTCGCAAGTAACTTTGGCACGGCAGCCGGCACGAGCAGCTTTGTTTCTATTTTGTCGCGCGAGCCAGGATATAGATAAATTAAACTTACGTACCTCTCAAGATTACGAGAGACTTAGCCGGCCTTGTACATACTCCAATAGTTTTTTTATAACCTAAAAATACCCTCAATAAAAATATAAAAATGGGAGAGAGAAAGAAAAAGAAAAAAAGAAATTATTGTAATGAAATATTCACGCAATTGCTAAAACGTAACGGCCATTTTATTACTATTCAACTAACTAAAATTCAATTGCTGCTGTTAGTGCTATACGATTATAACGTACAATACTCTGGTCTTGCCTTAGGAAGATGTCAGCAGTGTATTCGTGACTTTTTGTTCGCAAGCCACGGAGGTCCAGATAAAAAAATATATATACAAAGTATATTCTCGTATATCATAATTCCGTACTATTTGTTTGGTTAATTATGGACATGGAAATAAAATGGCTGAATATTCGTATTGAATTAAAACCGCAAAACGCATAAAATCCACCGTTTTACATACCCTTTAAAACTTGGTTCATAAAAACACGACAAAGTCCAATACAGCTTATCGGGAAAAATGAAGATAATTATAAATTCTACTCACGAGCCAAACTGTATTGACTGATAACGGAGGAATAAGGACAACGTCGCATGCAACTGCCAGCTCAAAAAACGTTGCTATGATACCTCCACCTGCAGCTGTATTTACTTACACAATTGCACCCGTGGAGGGATGGGTAGGGTAGCACTGTATTGACGTCTGGCCTGAGGGGACTTCCTGAATGCGCCTGAATGCGCTTACAATAGGATAATTCAATATTTGATGACCTGGATAAATACACAAGGATTTTAATCCTCAAAATAAACAAGATTACCATTGAATTGTCTAGCTGTATCCCTTTTACTGAATTAGGTAGTGGACATTGCAAAGTACCTCCGATATCTTTGTTCAAACAACTTCTTCAAACGTACTGAGACCACTTGTGCTTTCGATAAGTTCCGTCTTCCGTGATAAAATTCGTATAATCTTAAAAATACCTTATGATATAAGTCCCAGGATACTGCTAGAGCCTCATAGATATTGATACCAATATCTAGCTTTATCTGACTATTATTATTATCATTATAAAGCGAGTTCCCAGCACTAAACAGCTTGATGGGGGCTTCTTCAGGAACGATTTGCAGCTTAACTTCCAAAATTCTCATTAGTACTTGTCAAAATAAACTTTATAATAAAACGCTTAAGAGCTATGATAATGAATTCAGTTTTCTAGGGATTTCTCCTGGTGTGGTTCAAGTTGAGGGTCTGGCAATGACTATAATTCGAAGACATTAATCAACGTTAGAACTATGAAGAAAATAAAAAACACAGATGAGCTGTGAAGTGCCGTCGAAATCTTTCCGCCATTATTGACATCTAACAGGATTACAATGTTGCACAAAGGTAAATGCAGATTTGAAGATTTTGTACAACACTCGTTTATACTTCCGTTGACAACCTTCTACCACAAACTTAGATGGTTTTTGTGTACAAACTATTACATGTATCGAATTCACCGCTATTGAAGCAAAGTCAGAATTGTATACTTTGGTAAAGTTAACTGAAGACTTTAAAAGTGTCTAAGTTTCATTCTACATTTTCTCATCTGGATTCAAAAACAAAAAGAAAAAAAGACTCCCAGATATACACCTATTTCAATAAACGTTGTCGTCGCCAAAGGCGATTGGCAATAGGCGATGAAGCGATAGGAGATAGGTCATTCCAAAATCCAAGAATAGTTGGAATGAATGGTGTTTCTGCTTCTATCTTACTCTCGTCAAGAACATGGACCTTAGTGTTGAGACCAGACTGATTCAATGTTCTTTGTATTCAACGAAACCATTTCCATATTGGAATGACCTATTGCCTTTGGCGATGACAACGTCTATTAAAATAGGTGTATAGATACAAAGGCAAAAAAGTGAAGTGTTTCCTAATTGATATAACAAAATTTTTTAGTGGAGTCAATTGAAAACTCTGACTTTTGATATTGGTTTTCCGCGGTCTCTTTTCACAAACTTTACTTTCACCGGAAACTTAGATAAGCTAAAAAATCACTTACCTGAGTAAACTGAACGCCATCTTATCAATGACATCAATGTACGTCATTTTATAAACTATACATTTTTATTTCTATCATAAATATTCTTAAAAATATAGTTTAGTTCAGAAAGCCAAGAATGGATTATCGTAATAAAAGTACTAAGATGAATGCTCTGTCACACTCGCTCTCGCCAGACTTCATTTCATTTATCTAAAATTTAAAAGGTGTCAGAGTTGGAAATTAAGACTGTCATTTTCTATCTTTTTTTTCAACAGCATCGTGAAGAATTCTCACTCGTTTATATTCCATTTAAACCTCATTCCACATGGATCCATATCGTGCAAAAAGAGTTTATTGCTCTTGGTTTTCCTATCATTTGGGTCATGTTCACTTTGAGAAGAAGAAAAGACAGTCAGAAGGGTCGATTCACAGGTTTCCATGGAACTGTTGTGGCCACTGTGGATATGCTATGCGACGACTCAATTTCACTAGCACTAACAACCAGTTTGGTCTTGCTTCAAGACACGCAAGGGAAAGTCAGATCAAAGTACAAAAACAGGTAGGCTTGAGTTTTAATGAATGCCACAATGCCTTCCTGCAGAAGATAACTTAGAGCTGACGGTGAAGTAAGGGAAGTCAGTGAAGGCGTTTGTCTGTTTTCAGTCTGTGGCTACCAACGAGGAAGAGATTGAATTCGCTCGTTGTTGTTGTTGTTGTTGTT